GACCGCATTTCTCTGCCTGGGAGGGTGTACCAGGGAGCAGAGCCAGAGCAAGTTTTGACAGTAACCCACTTGGCCTGCATGAGGCTGACGGGAATTTTTTTTAAAAAATCCGCCTCCTCCCAAGTTGCTTGGGACCCCCAATAGTTCCCAGCTCTAAGTTTGAGAACGGCTGACCTTGATGTAAAGTAGCTTCACTTTCACAGGTACATTAAACAGGGTAATCAAAACTGGTAGTAAATGAAATGTTTTGAACAGTGAGATGGGAGAAGATGAATTATCACAGGATAACTGAATGACTGGTCTTAGAATTGCTGAAGAATAGAGGGAGTTAGAAGTGGGTTTCTTCTTCAGTGTCCCTTGCTGAGAATACTGACAGAACCTGAACTTGTTTTCACATCATTAGAAGGATGTGTCGAGGAGAAAGGTTGGAATGTCTGGACAAAGAAATAATATTTGCAAATACTGTATTTTGCATAATGCAATCATTTGCTGAAGGAAAAGGGTAGGGAAATTATTCTTTTGGAACCTAACCTAAGCTTGAGCAAACCTGTGGTAGAGAACCAAAATACTCATTTATTTCCTGTTGCAGAAATATGTTTTATGTAATTATAAATTAGGGATTAGAATGAATTAACTTCTTATCCAAATAGCCTTCATGCATAGCTTTCTTTCTGAGCTTAGAAATGATGGGTGCAGGTCTTATCTGGGAGAAATCCCACTGGACTTAATGCAACTCATTCTGAATAGACATATATAGGATTGCATTACAGGTAGTACCCAGTTGAAGAACGAGTTCCATTCCCAAGGTCTGTCCTTAAGTCGAATTTGTATGTAAGCCGGAACAGTATTATTGTATAATACTGTATAAGTAGTATTGTGTAATTATTCAAACCATTCTGTATTTAACTCGAATTTTGCTACACTAGGCTCCATTCTTAACTATGAGTCATATGTAAACCGGGTGTTCTTAACTCGGGAACTCCCTGTATATGTTAGTATAATGCAGCTTTGGCTGTATTATCCATAACTGCTTTTGTTTTATGTTTGCAAAGAGTGGGAAAGGGACCAAAATACATTAATATTATCCTGAAACAAAATCTTTCCAGGATATTAAACTTGTTTAGGATTTAAGATTAACAGAGGATTACAAAAAACTGTTGACTGAAGAAACAGAAACCACGACTTCCCTTGGCTGCTATGGCTTCCCTGCCTGGGTTGCCACCAGGCGCAGGAAGGCTCCATGGCTACCTGCCCACAATGCTTGATACCGAGAGCCCATCAGAGCAAGGTTTCCAGGCCTTTCATGAACTCTGGAGAACAAAACCAGCTTGAGGCAAGGAATCCAATCCAGCGTGGATCTGTGGAGAGGCTGCTCTGTTCCAAGTGCTCTTTGGAGTGAGATGCTAAAACAGGCCTAAGTTTTCTCAACCTTGGGAACTTTAAGATGTGTGTCAGGTGACCTACTGGGGGAATCTAACCTGAATTTGAGTGTTTGTGTATAAAGCCATGATCAAAATTAATAACCTTCTATCCAAATTCAACTGATCTGGCTTAATCCATAGTTTGTTTCTATCAATAGAATCAAAAGCTACATGAAAATCCACAAAGTCAACATACAGTCTCCTGTGGACGTGTTTTACATACTTATTTATCAGATGATCCAATGCAAAACCGTGATCAATTGTTGAGTATCCTGCTCTAAACCCTGCCTGTTCCTCTGCAAACATATTTGCAAAGAAATAATAAATGTGTGGTAAATAATGTTTTAATTTTTTTTTTTTTTTATAATTCATACACATACAGGATGGAGCCATTAGGAGAAACTTGGTACAACTAAGGGGGTAGTGACCCCCAAAAAATTGAGAAAAACTGCACTAATTCATAGTGGGCTACTGCCGCTATGTTCTATCAGTTCTGTATATATATTTATTACATTTTTTATTCTTTTATTATTGGTTGCATCATTTTGTTCTTATTTTGCAAGCCACCCCAAGGTCTTACAATCTGCAGCACAGATATCTTGTAAAATTTTTTAAAAAAAACTTCCCCTCCCAACAATTATTTTTAGAGACAAATGGATTTTGAGCTAAGGAACAGAAAACTGCAAAATTATTCCTCACATAGAGAAAGTTTGTAGAGAAACGCTTTCTTGTCTCTCACAGACTGCCGGGACTCCTCAGGGTCATTCAGTAAAACATATTCAGGGTAGATAAACGCCAGTATTTCTTAAAGGTAGCTTTACAAGACTTCTAGACAAATTGACTGGAGGACATTAAGCCCTTTTCTCCTGATCAAACGTGCATTCGTTCAGAAGTAAAAGATGGGGTAGAGTGGTAGGTGGGCTGAAGCAAACAGTACATGGGCAGAACCCGAACCAGTGCAAACTCCAGGCCACCTCTCGCTCATTCTTCTTCTGACATCCTGTTCTTTTCTTAAGAAGAGAAGAAACAAATGGATGCAGAGAAGGGATGGAATTCTCTTAATGGAAGCTGGAGATGATCTCTGGCTTTTGAAATTAAGCTGAGGACCACCTGAGAGACACAGATATGCAGCCCTGAGGGATAGTTATTTACATCTCCTGTCTGTACTATAATATGTGTTACCCTGTTCCAGGTAAAATTTAAAGATCTGAAATTTATTTTTGAAGTTCTGTGCATCTTGGGACCAGGCTACTTGAGAGAATACCTCTTTCTGTATGATCCTCCTGTTAACTGAGATCATCCTAGAGGTTTGCCTACTATTGCCCCAAGCTAATTCTGCAAGTTTTCTGGGTAGAGCTTTCTCTTGTAAGCACCCCAGTTCCTTGGAACACATTTGCTGGTGAATTAAGGGACCGAACCTCTTAGACTATTTTCTAACAAGCCTTAAAAGCATACTCTTAAAGTAAGCTTTAAATTATTAATTTTAATTACTGGTTATAACAAGGATTTGGGGTTTAAAGTTTCATTGTAAACCAATATATTATGTTTAATGAATCAAATGCTTCAGAATGTTGCCAGGGTCTGCTCGACCACTTCTGCCACATCAACCTCCGGTTTACACTTAAACAAGTTCTTTACTGTTTACCTTATTGAAACCTCTCTCCTGTATTTCTGTATTTCACCTCCATCTTCTTCCCTAATATCAGAGAGGTACAGTTCTCTTTCCATCTCTTATAAAAGAGGTATTATTCCTGTTACCATATTCTGAAATATTTCCATCTGACTTGTACAGTGTTTCTAACACGTATCTTCCAGTCTTCTCATTTTTCAGTATCGTAGAGCAGATCCAGCTTGCCAAGCTGCAGAAGGCCTTTCTTATTATGAGTTCTTGAGAGGATTTCAGAGATATATTTGCCTGTGGTCGTAAAGCTAACTGCCATCACAGGAGTTCTCCCCTAAATTTGATGGGGGTCTCTTCACTTGGGTTCCTTTAGGAGTGTGCCTTAGGCTACAGCTGCACTTCTGCTCCCTGGGGTATTGCGTTTTGTTTCAGTCTCAGTCTAACACACGCCTTAACCTGTTTTTGATGATTCATTAGCAAAATGCATTAACATCATTACTAACATCAGTCATGTGTCTGCCCTTTTCACAGATATTTATATATTACATTAAAAACTTCCATTAAATATTTTGGTCAACTTATGGATACGTATAATCTCTTGACAATAGAGATATTGTTACACATTTACTAAGGAGTGAAGTTCTGTTGTTGTTGCCGGAGACAAGGATCTGTTCTGACCATATGTGGACCATCCAGTCATAAATCCAAATTAGTTGCTGCCAATAAGCTTGAATAATATTATGTATTGTACTACTTACATGTTACTTGTGTTTGTGCTTGCCATGGATGCTTAATATTTTTATGTTAAGGAAGATCTCAAAATGATTTTCAAAGTTGTCTAATCTATTAGTGGGCAGTTGTGCCACAAGTCCAGGGCTCCAGATCAAATGATAAACAAGTGTTAAATAATGGGCATAGCAACAAACTTCTTGGCATTAAAACATGGCCAGAACCAGCATAGATACGGTAGAGCCCACTAGAGTTCATCTGGTTGTATCCTATTTTCTTATTGTTTTAAAGTAAGTCAAAAGTTGGTCAAATGTTCATTGTATTTTTATTTACAGATATATTGTTCTTTCCTTTTAAAAAGTGTGTATTCCTAAACAAATTAGTGTGCATTCTCAGGTTACTTCTGAAGAGGAGGAGCATAAGATGATTAAAATCATGTTTACAGTGATCTAACTCTACCACTGCATGAAAGTAGACTGGTGGAAATACTGGAAATACTGCAAGTGCTCAGTCTAGGTTTATGTGTGGTATGTATGTATGTATGTATGTATGTATGTATGTATGTATG